AATTGCCATAAGCTAAGATGCAGGAGTAAATCACTTACCTAGGGAGTAAGCCAAACAGATCATTTGGAGTTGCAGTGTACCTTTTTTCTACTGAGAATTATATGTAATATAATGCTTGTGAAGTAATTGTTAAAACTTCATTAGGAAAAATTACTCCATTAAGAAATCCTTGCTGGCCCTGGTAGCACACACCTGTAATCCCAGCAGTTCGGGAGGCTGAGACAGGAGGATACATCCTCAGCGGTGGTGAGGCACTTAGCAACTCAGTGAGACCCTGTCAATAAATAAAATACAAAATAGGGCTAGGGATGTGGCTCAGTGGTTGAGTGTCCCTGAGTTCAATCCCTAGTACGAAAGAAAGAGAGAGAGAGAGAGAGAGGGAGGGAGGGGGGGGAGAGAGAGAGAGAGAGAGAGAGAGAGAGAAAGAAAGAAAGAAAGAAATCCTAATGCAAATTCTAATCAGATAGAAACCTAGTATTTTAACAGAAAAAAAAAAAAAAAGGTGGTGGGAGGGAAGAGCCAGGCCTGGTGGTGTATACACCTTTATAACTCCAGCCACTTGGGAGCAAGAGGATTGCAAGCTTGAGACCAGCCTGGGCAATTTAGCAAGATCCTGTCTCAAAAAATAAAAAATTGGGGGCAGGGGGCTGGGGGATTTAGCCCAGTGAAAGAACACTTTCCTGGCATGCACAGGCCCTGAGCTGAATCAAAAGTACAGGTTCAGGGGTAGTGGGGGAGCGGGGACCTGATAATACTAAGGATCATTTATTTTTTCCTTTCTTTCTTTCTTTGTTTTTGGTATTGAGGGAGGAACCAAGGGTCACTCAACCACTGAGCTACATCCACAGCCCCTTTTAAAACTTCGTTTTGAAACAAGTTCTCATTAAGTCGTCCAGGCTAGTCTCAAACTTTTGATCCTCCTGCCTCAGCCTCCCAAATAGCTGGGATGATAGGCATACACCACTGTGCCCAGTTCTGGGGATCAATTTTTTTAAAAGCCAACAAAACAAATAATATCATATAAAGATAAAAGTCTGAAATCATAGACCTTTCCACTGAAAAGCAAGAATCTTCTAACAGTAGCTTACTTTGTGTACTTACTCTGTGCTAGAGCCATGCATGAATTATTTCATTTTTTGATCTCCCATGAAGGATTCCCTAAAAGAAAATACTATGCATTACTTATCCCCATTCTGTTGAAGAAGGTAAGCATTTAACTTCTCTAAAGAAGTTAAATAACTTGTCCACAGTGATACTTAGTGAGTGACAGGGTGAGAGGCGAACCTAGGTCTATAAGACTAGGGCAGCATTGTGCAGAACTTTATGCATTGATGGGAATGTTCCATGTATTTGTCATCCAGTTTGGTAGCCTCTAGTTTCATGGGACTTTTGAGCATTTAAAACATGACTAGTCTAAGTAAAGAAATGAATTTTAAATTTTATTAGACTAGTATTTGTTAATAATTAAAATAGATTCATGGGCTAGTAATTGCTGTATTACATAACACTGCTCTAGAACCTTCCTAAAATGCTTTTAATTACTTGCCAACACCTGTCCAATTCAATCCTCCAAACTAAAGCACATAGAACAAAAAAGAGTAAGGAAGTATTCACATTGTCAGCTACACAGAACCAGAGTATTAAAAGCAATTTGATTAGCCAGGGTTAGGGATGTGATCTGTCATGGAAACCTGAGATTCTTTGCTCTCTTATTCCTAGCCAGGAAGCAGTCACAGGGTGATGAACTTTGGTCTAAAATCCTTAATTCAAATTTTTTTTTTCCCCTTTTGAATTACCATTCATATCATATAAAATCATTCTCCTTTTACACCCTTAGTCCTTGTGCCCACTGCCTTAGTATAAAGGTAAGCAGGAATTCCCATTCCTTTGTTTGCACTTTAACCACCCACAATACTTCCTGACTCTAGCTTTGTAACCTGTTCCTGATGTTTTTGTGGTCAGTCACTTTGGCCATTTGAGGCCTCAAATTTTCTCATCTGCAAAATAAGAAAGTTGGATTAAATGAGTAGGTTTCTTCTAGTTGTAAAAATTCTGTATGTAACTGTTTTAATGACTGTAGCTTAATGTCCTATAGTTGTATGGATGTGCAGTCAATTTTTTTAAAGTAAATTCTTGTGTTGTTAAAATTCTACGTGCAAAGTCCCAAATGTCTTTTTAAAAATTTTTAAAAAAACTACTGCTAGAAAGCTCTATAGCTCTTCAAGTCTACTGAATAGCTCTGTTTCATTCTCCTTTATGCTCATTTTGTAAACAATGGCTTTACTTTTCAGTAGCTACAAATCAAAAGCTTGCACTTCTTTGGGGCCTCATTTGAAGCCTTGGAAGTGATTACTATATTCAAAAACCTTAGTGAATTGATTGTCACATTTAAATAACATGTTCATTAAACATGTGATGGCAGTTGAAGACTCAACAGCAAATAAAGAAGTTTGAAATGTTGTTTTGGAAGCATAGATTTTTTTTGGTTAATGTTTATGTATATTAACAGTTAAGATGTTTTACCTATATGTTCATTTGGAAAAGAACAATACTCCATTAAATTCTACTAATTTATTTAAAATATTTTACTCAAGCAATTTCAGTTTGCATATGTTTGAAGTAAAGTATCCATTATGTAAATCAGTAATTTGAACTGCAGGTTCATCACATACTAATTTTTGTAACAGCCACTTCTTGACTAAATTGTACACCAGTGAAATTTGGCCTGTAATAGATGTTAGGGTTACCTGTAGGTTCTTGAAAAATGCAGTGTTCAAGTCTCATCTCAAACCTTGTGACAGTCTCAGAGAGGAAGGGATTGAATGTGAATGTTTCCCCGATTGTCCTAATTTCTTTCAGGTTCTAAACAAAACACTGAAAATTCTTGGCAAGAAAGAATTGTTCTCTTTTATTGATTGGGCTTATACCAACATCAGATTTAGCCTGTAATAACTTAGTATAGTATTATGAAGTTTTTTCAGTCTTTCAAAATTTAGCATTAATTAGTGTTTGTATTTGGTTGATCGCAATTCACACAGAAAACATTTACCCAATTCAATGCTTAGTCATTACTGATAACATGAAATATAAGAAATGTAAAATATAGAAACAAGTACCTGATTTATTTACTTGACTGGGTGATTAAAATAATTTATGACTTATAAAAATTTAAAATTGTGATTTTATCTCATTCTCAGATTATTAATACTCTTATAGTTATTTATTGGTATTTCCACAATATAAAACTTCATTTTACTAAAAAAGCATTTTAAATCTTCAAGTTATTATTATCAAACCACCATTATTTATTTTTCCCTAGATTTTAAAAATAATTCTACTCTGCATTTATATAAATAACCTGTAATTCTACATTCTTCATTCCAAATTTAAAATGATGATGTTCTTAAGTGGAAGTTTGAGTACATACTTTACTGGATCATACCAATAACATTCATAGTATATAATACATATCTTCTAGATCATATGTATTATCCTCTAATGGTCTGCACTCATGTGTGTTGGGGATCAAATCCAGGGCCTCACACATGCTAAGCACATGTTCTATCACTGAGCTACAACCCCAATCTCCCAAGAGTATTTTTTAGTGCCTGTACTTACAGGCACTAAAAACTTCATTGCACTGGGAGGATTTAGGCAGCAGTGTTTATTATAGAGTACTGTAAATTTCAGAAATAGATAAATCTCAGTCCAGTGTTTTTGTGAGTATAATCTGAATGTTCTTGCTTGAGTACCTTTTCGTTTATTTGACCTCTTCTTAATTACCTAAGTCCTCAGTCTTCTCCATTCAACCCATAGGGAAAGTACAGGAAAACCATACCTGCTCTCAACCACTTTAGCTAAGGTGAACTATATGAAGTAACAGTTTATTTCTATCACAAAGCCACCTTTCTCCAAACGAGGCTGCAAAATATCGTGTAGCCATATTCCCAGGAAAAAAGGAAAAAAGATTTCAGTAAACACAACAAAGGTTCTGCAACAACCTTGTCTCTGCCATGAAAAACTCTATTACTTTTGACAAGGCACTCAATTTCCTTCAATTCTCTTTACTTTAGAAAGTAAGAGATCCAATGACTTTCTCTTTTTTTGATAACATTATTAGATGCTTTTATTAAGAAAATTCTCTTAAAATATGGTGAGGCTTGATTCAATAAAACATTCATCAGAATCACAAGTTTCTTTTAAGATCTGATCAGAAATGAGAATTTTTAAATTATGGCACAGTGGCTTTTAGTGAATTGCATAACCAACAGATATTGATGACTTGATTTAAATGATGTTGGAGAGTGGATGGCGGTAGAGCATGTGGATTCAGATTCCCTTCCTAGTCCTAAACAGTTCACTGCCCATCAGTAAATCAGATAAAAACATAGAACTCGTACCTCTTCAAACTATAATTTGGAAATTTCAAATCATTTTTTGGACATGTGGAATCAGGCCTTCAGGTTATTTTAATCTAATTCAACTTACTTAATATACATTTATAGGTTACCTGGGCTTTTAAGGACTGGTCAGAGAATCAAAGGAATTATTTATAACTTTTATGACAGTGCGTTTTATAAATTAACTGTGGCACATAACTCCTTTTTAAAGAAAAGATGACTTGGACTTATATTTCCAAAACACTTTAATTGCTTTCTTGCCTTCAAAGATAGGAAGAGTGATCAATTACATCTTTAAATATAATGTTAGGAACCCAGCTGTCAATGTGAATATAGCTTGGCTCTTCCTAAGCAGAGATGTTAGGTTTTTAAAAATGAGACCTCATAAATAGGTACTACAAAGAGTATGTGTAGCTATTAATTAACAGATGTCATATTCACTCATAGTAACTTGAGCTATCATTGATTTTAAAAAATAATAGATTAAAATTGATAGCATTGATTTGTTTTATTACATTTGAAGTACTTAAAAGGACATAATAGGAAAGATCTTTTTAAGTGATAGTAATATTTTTAAATGTGCATTTTCTTTCTTTTCAGGACTTCTAATAGTAGTCAGACATTATCATCCTGCCATACTATGGAGCCATGTTCATCAGATGAATTTTTTCAAGCCCTTAATCATGCTGAGCAAACATTTAAAAAAATGGAAAACTATTTGAGACATAAACAGTTGTGTGATGTAATTTTAGTTGCTGGTGATCGCAGAATTCCAGCTCACAGGTAATTGTTTTCTAATTTGTATGTGTGAAATATTTCCTAGGTAATTTTGTTATGTATGGCGAGGTAACATACTCCATTTGACCATTATGCTTTTGAAAAGGGGTAGATCTCATGGGACTTCCACAAAGAAAACAGTGCATATAGAAATTATTATACATTGAATGATCCTAAAAGGCTTATTTTCCCTTTTTAGAAGCAAAAAAAAAAAAACCACAATGGCCTTAGACAAGTCAATATTGTCTGGTATAGATTTCAGCTACTACAAACAGCTTTCTTCCACAGTTATTAAATACTTTCAGTAAATTCAGGGGAAATTAGAATTTGGGTATTTAGGAAAAAGAAAAACTGGTAGAATAGAGTTGCTAGAAGTGTTAACAATTGTTAAGTTTTTTTGTTTGTTTTTGGTGTTGTGGGTTGAACCCAGGGCCTTATGCATGCTAAGCATGTGCTATACCACTGAGCTACACACCTGGCCCCCTAACAGTTTTTAAGAAACTACATGTATCCTAACTTCTGTTTGCTGATCTCTTAATAAATATAAAAAGCAGTACTGGGGGTGGGGGGGCAGGAGCCTTTAACAAATGATAAATCATTTCATTTTCTTCTGATAATTTCATATTCATTCAATTGTTCATTGTTGATCATCACTGTGATCCCAAATGATTTTTTATGCCCTTCAAAACTAATTAACAAACACTCTGTTCCAAAGAGTTTTTTTAAAAAAATCTTCCAAAATAGAAGTAAAACAGGAATGGGCTTTGTCTGATAGTTGTCAATTTGTATACATTTATTGAGCTAATACTATTTACTAGTGACAGAGCATCCTATTATGAGCATGAGTTTATGCTCATATTAAAGATATTTCAATCTGATTTCATGGAGGTATCTCAAAGTCTGTAGTATTTCCTGAACTGAACACATTACCAGATTACCTGACATACTCATGTTAGCCATCTCACTTACAGAAACCTTAACACCTAACTGGTATCTCTGCTTAACACCTTTACTCTACATTGTTTTCAACACAGCCATTTGAGTGATCCTCTAAAATGGAACTCGGATCCAGTCACTCTGACCAAACCTCTCAATGATTCATGTTACTGAGTATGAAAGCCAAAGTACATTTAGTGACCTGTGTGACCCAGCCTGCCATTTCCTAAGGTTCTGTCCCACTGCTCTCCTTGCTCACTCTGCAAGAACCACACTGATAGATCTATAATTTCTTGTATGTGCCAGTAATGACACTTCTGTCTTTGGACTTTTGTATTGGCTTCACCTTCTGCCCAAATGCTGTTCATAGGTACTGTGACTAAGTAGCTTATTAGGTTATTTTAAAAAATGATAAACAGAAAATAACTTCCTCAAAGTTTTTGCCCAAATATCACCTTCCAGTGAGAGCGACTGTTAAACTCACCATATATTCTCCATTTGTCTTTACGCTACTTTCCCCCCATAGCACTTATCACCTTTTTGTTTACTATCACATATGGTGCTACTGTTCATTGTTTCTCTCCTTTACTTCTAAAATGTAAGACTACATAAAGAAAAGTCCTTTTTTCTGTCTGGTGTACTGATGTATCTCAAGTATCTAGAAGAGCACTCATTAATTGTTAGGTGCACATCAGTATTTGTTCAGCAAATGACTGAATGAATAGGTAATTCTATGAAGAAGGAATCTGAATGGCTAGTAAATATTTGAAAATATCTGCACCAATTATTAGTCAGGGGAATGAAAATTAAAACAGCAAGATTGTACATTTAAAATTGTGCAGATAACCAAAAATTTTAACATCTGACAATATTATGGAGAAACATTAGCTCTTATACAATACTAGTCGGGGTCTAAATTGGTACAGTACCTTAAGAGAGTCATTTGGCAAACCTTATAATTCAGTTCAGTTCTAAGGAAGCAGAAGAATGGAATTAGAGAGGGACACAAAGGGAACTTCATCAATAATTTGTATCATTATTTTTACTTCTTTAAAAAATGGGTAAAGGGCCAGGTGCAGGGGTGCATAACTATAATCCCAGTGGCTCACGAGACTAAGGCAGGAGAATGGCGAGTTCAAAGCCAGCCTCAGCAACTAGTCAAGACCCTAAGCAACTTAGCAAGCCCCTGATTCAAAATAAAATATAAGGCCTGAGGTTATGGCTCAGTGGTAGAGTGCTCAGGGTTCAATCCTCAGCACCACATAAAAATAAATAAATAAAGATATTGTGTCCAACTTCAACTAAAAAATAAAATATTTTTTTTAAATAAAATATATAAAAAAGAGTGGGGATATGGCTCAGTGGTTAAGCACCCCTGGATTCAACACCTAATACCAAAAATAAAAAAGAATAAAGGGACTAGAGATGTGGCTTTGTGGTAAAGAGCTTGCCTCCCCAGTGCAAAGTTCTGGGTTTGGTCCCCAGCACTGCAAAAAACAAAATAAATAAATATAAATCTGTGTAAGCATGTTCACATAAAAATAACTTTAAGACATATAATCAAGTGAAAAAAATGCATGTTTCAAAAATACATATATTTGTAACTACTTTTATTTTTATTGACTGTCAAAAATCTTGCTGAGTCACAGCTACTCAGGAGGCTAAGGTAGGATTGCCAGTTCAAGACAAGCCTGGGCAACTTGGCAAGACGCTGTCCCAAAATAAAATTTAACAATGGCACTTGCCTAGCATGTGAAAGACTCTGGTTTCAATCCCCAGAACCACCCCCCCCCCCAAAAAAAAATCCACAGAAACAGGTCATATGTTATTATATATTATAACAAAATATTGTAGTTTCATAGTACTAATACATAAGTATTATAATAATATAGGTACAATGTGCTATGATAATAAAAGTGTTATAAAAGTTAAAAATAACTTGCTAAAACCATTTTTAACTGTTTCCTATATATTCACTCCTTCTACCATTAAATTTTTTTAAAGATAGCTTAGGTTATTTTAAAAAATGATAAAAAGTAACATTTTTTCTTTTGTATATGTAGTTGATTTAATGCTGTGGGCTTGTGGCTTGTTTTCTGGATGTTATAAAGTTGTATTTGAGTGGTAAGCAGGTAAATCATTTACCTCAGCAGAAAATTTTCATAATGGTAATTTATTATTCAGAGGAAGGAAGTAGAGCATAAAGCAATTTGTCAAACTTAAAATGCATTTCCCAGTACCATGTACTTTCTATGGGTAACAAATTTTTTGAAAAAGATGATGAAGCATTTATTAAAGAACATCAAATTTAATATGCTCATTGATTTTTTTTTCCTAATCCTCAGATTGGTGCTCTCCTCTGTCTCTGATTATTTTGCTGCCATGTTTACTAATGATGTCAGAGAAGCAAGACAAGAAGAAATAAAAATGGAAGGTGTAGAACCAAACTCGTTGTGGTCCTTGATTCAGTATGCATATACAGGTAATAAGTCTGAAAATGTAAATAAAACCCCTTAATTTTGTGTTATATTATTAGATTCCAGATTTCCAGACTCAATAAAGTATGTCTGGCTAACAGTTAATTCTGCTATTGTCATTACCATCTTGATAATACCTCACATAGGTTAAAAATCTCCATGTTAAAACCTTTAAAGTAGTTATCATAATGAAGCTTTTGAATGGTATTTTAAAATATTAATATAATAATTAGATGGATTATGTAATTAGTGAAAATTTTGCACTTAAAATTGGAGAGTTATATAGAACTGATGTTACAAATATGTCATTTAGAAATTCTGAAAATAAGACATTAGTTTTTCTTTTTATTTTTTAATAGAGGTCACAAAGAGCTAATAATTTTCCCCCACATTCAATACTTTTTATTTTATGTTTTAATGTCTTACATTTTCTAGGTTTGTAATACATGTAATGAGCTCTTATTTCGAAATATTACTACTAACATCAATTATTTTATAAAATAAGATTCATGTATTTCCCTAGTTAATGGAATTTCTTTTTATCATTAAGGCCGCCTTGAATTAAAAGAAGATAATATTGAATGCCTGTTATCTACAGCTTGCCTTCTTCAGCTTTCACAGGTTGTGGAAGCATGCTGTAAGTTTTTAATGAAACAGCTTCACCCGTCCAACTGTCTTGGAATCCGTTCTTTTGCTGATGCCCAGGGTTGTACAGATTTGCATAAAGTGGCTCACAATTACACTATGGTATGTATTTGAAGAGCAAGCAGGCATATCCTCTTTGCCTTATTCCTTATTGTTGAAGGCTAATTTACATATTGGCTTTGTCATGAGTCTTGAGGTTCAGGTTCATGGTCTAGCATGTCATATTTTCATTGAATTTTGAGGAGAACAACACCAAGTAATATTTTTGGATGGAGGAGCCAGGCCCTAAGTTAATATAGTCACTAAGAAGCAGAGTGGTGTCCTAGTTCTATTTCATTCAATATTTTCAGACCTGCTGCTTTTTAAAGCAAGACTTTCCCAAACATTTTACTTTATAGCACATGGATGCATTTCAGAATTGTCCACATATTCACTGCCAGAAATCAGTGATAGTGGTTATAATGTATTGGGACAGTATTGATATAAATGATGAGAAGATGAATAGGACACTTTTTAAGAATGAATCTGATTACTTACAAGAAGTGTTTTTGTTTATTTGTTTATTTGGTTTTGGTACTCAGAATTGAACCCACAGTTGCTTTACCACTGAGCTACATTCCTAAGTTCTCACTAAGTTGCTTAGAGTCTCACTAAGTTGCTGAGGCTGGCTTGAACTTTCAATCCTCCTGCCTCAACCTCCCAAGCCTCAGGAATTATGGGCATACACCACTGCACCCAACTAACAAGAAGTGTTTATAGACTTGATTTAAATGCTTCAGTTAGAGCAATTGACTTCTAAGAGAAGAAATAATGTGAATATTCACATACATGTATGCAGCTATCCACATTACTAATTCTATCAGCGTTTAGGAAATGCCATTTTGTCTACCCTCTCCTCCATCCTTCATGCTTCCATTGAGTTGTTTGTTTTGTGTAGAGATTGGCATTGCTTTAGGAAGCTTCCATTAGAGATACAGAGATATGGAGAAGAATGAATAGGTTATTTTTAACCTATTGGGAAGATTCAGTCTACCTATTTCATAAGCTTGATGTGAAAAAGCATTAAATGTTAATAAAAGTTTAACACTAGCAATTGGCCCATCATCTCCCCAGTCAGAAAAAGATGCCATCATCACATGGTCATCATCATCATTTAGGTTTACTCGTTCAACACAGTAGGGGTTTATGTGAGGAAACAAAAGCTTTCATAGAAAACCACAGTGTTTATGATTGGTTTTTCTCCCTGTGGTTGTAATCACCTCTCAGGAATGTTTCTTGTTTATGATCATCACAGGGCCTCAAGTAAAAAAATAAGAGATTGCACAATAGGACAATAATATACAGACTTAGCATGGTGGTAGGCTAATGTTTTTTAAATTAAATCCTTTGAAAAATTTCCTGCTTAGTCTTTATCCTTCTTTGTAGATTTCTCATTTTAACCTTACACCTGCAGGTTCAAATAACTTTATGACAAGATTAATATAAATAAATGAAATACAGCTGGAGTTTTTTCTTCCTAATAAGTTTATAATTTAATATCTCTTTCCTAGGAGAGTTTTATTGAGATGAAAACATTTGTATGCATGCATTTAGGTCACTTTTTTTGTTTACATTAGAGATGTGATTGCTGTTTTAAGGCTTAGACATAAATTAAATTTGAATTACCTGGATGTTTTTAAAATTTTCGTAGCCAGTTACTTGTGGTAAATTTTTTTCTCAAGGTCATTATTTAACATTACTTATATTTCAGCAGAGACGTGAAATGGAATTCTAATAACAATAAGTAACTTAGAAGCAGATTGTCTGATTTGAATTGTTGCTATGGGAACTGAATAAAAATGTATAGCAAAATTCAATCTTCAATTTAAATAAATCCCTCAGTAATTTTATTTGCTTAAAAACTATTCCAAAGGGGGAAAGAGCATAATGCTAGCAAGGTTTGGTAGCGTGATATTTGTATCATAAAATGGATTTAAAATATGAAGTAAGCATAATGTATGCTAGTGAAGTCAGCCAGTAATTCATAGGTGGACTGGACATGTTCCCTAATGTGGCACAGGTACAAGGAGAAAAGGATAAGCACCTCCTTCTCAGAATCTGGGGCCTGGAAACTTTTGTTCTACTTCTGACTGCCATTAAACAGGACCTGGAGCAGACCATTTAATGTCTAGAAGAAGTTTGACTAGTTATTTCATTACAACTATTTAATATCATTATTGATTTGGAAAAACAAATGTAAAAATTTAAAAATATTAAATTTTGTTTATCAATCTACAAAACTTATAAAAACACTGAATTCTGCAAACAAAAAGAGCTGCTTTAAAACAAAATTTATACTTTTGAAAAGCACTTTGTGTTTAAAATTGAGTTTAGTAGTATTTCATAATTTGTTGAAAAACTCAGGTTTTCACTTGATATAAATTATTCAAAAATGCTGTCTTTCCGCCATCTTTTCGTGCCACCATAATGGTGCACGTGAATGTCCTGGCTGATGCTCTCAAGAGCATCAATAATGCCGAAAAGAGAGGCAAACTCCAGGTCCTTGGTAGGCCGAGCTTCAAAGTCATCATCTGGTTTCTACATGTGATGATGAAGCATGGTTACATTGGTGAATTTGAAATCATTGATGATCACAGAGCTGGGAAAATTGTTGTCAGTCTCACAGGCAGGTTAAACAAGTGTGGAGTGATCAGCCCCAGATTTGATGTGCAGCTCAAAGACCTAGAAAAATGTCAGAATAATCTGCTCGCATCCTGTCAGTTTGGTTTCATTGTATTGACAATCTCAGATGGCATCATGGACCACGAAGAAGCAAGATGAAAACACACAGGAGGAAAAATCCTGGAATTCTTTTCTAAGTATTTAAAACATACACAATAAAATGCCTCAATGGAAAGAAATAAATAATATAAGAATGGAATTGGCAGTGTTCTGAAATATATGCATAAACAGTTTATCAAAACCTTATGCAATGGTCTTTTTCTCACTAATGAAAGGCAATTAATGCTATTTGTAAGTAGCAATAGTTACACGAATGTTATATAAATATGTTGATTGTACTATACACCATAGCTTTAAACAAATGGAAATGCATATTATTCTGATATCTTCAGAAATTCACATGATATTATGTAATTAATATTTTTACAGGTAACTATGTTATCTTTTTATATATATATATATATATATATTTTTTTTTTTTTCCTGTCATTGATGGACCTTTATTTAATTTAGTGATTTGTATGTGGTGCTGAGAATTGAACCCAGGGCCTCACACAGGCCAGGCAAGTGCTCTACCACTGAGCCACCATCCCAGTGCCGCTGTTATCTTTGCCCTTGAAATTTTTATTCCCATTTAGGCTATTTCCCACATTTTACTATTATCAGTAATAAAGAATCAATGTTATTGATTCATCTTTGTTTTACACTTACACAGTATTTATTAAGAATTAAACCGCAGGGCTGGGGTTGTGGCTCAGTAGTAGAGAGCTTGCCTAGCAAGCACTGGGTTCAATTCTCAGCACCACATATAAATAAAATAAAGGTCCACCGACAAAAAAAAAAAATATATATATATATGTGTGTGTGTGTGTGTGTGTGTGTGTGTGTGTGTGTGTATAAGTATATGTATATGTGGAGAGAATTAAACCACAAGTGGAATAACTGGGTTGAGAATTTTAGCATTCTTGCTGTGTTACAAAATTATTTTACAATGTCAGTATACAGTTGAGTAAGTACAGTTTGCTTGAAACAATTCCAGCAATGAGATTATATTAAAAGCTATTTCTGAAAATGATAATCAATCATTTAAAATAGATTAATTTGGGTATCTTTTAACAAATCATGATGAATTGGGGCAACTGAATTTAATTAATTATTCATGAATGGTTTTCCTCTTAAGAATTTCTGCTGAAAGGGATGTCAACCCAAGATGTATTTTAGATAAGTACCTCAGTCAGATTATCACAGGCTAAGTAGAAAATATGATTCTCATTCTTATATGAAGATAGCTATTGATAGACCTTATCAGTAGCTCTAATTTAAACGGCCTTAGTAATTTTACTAAAACTCTGCATGCTGAGTCAGGGCTAACACATTAAGAAGTATAAGAAAAACATTAAAGGACATATGTCTAACATTTGCATTTATATTTTTTCCTTTTTTTGCATTTATATTTGATGATATCTTATAACCTTTCAAATAGGTAAGTTTTCCTTCTCTCCAGATTATTTAGCACAATAACCTATAAAGTTTATCTCACACCTAAATGCATTTCTAGCTCCCATTTCAAATTATAGAGAGCTTGATTCTAGCCAGGATTGAATCACTTTCAGTCTAAGGTCCTTGTCCTACTACATTCTAGGTTAGCACTTTTGCTTTGGTTCTTTTTCCTATGAACCAGAATAACTTTACATAAATCATATTAGATGAAATAAAAATTTTTGAAACAGACCTAAAACTCTGGATGGTCTTATAAATAACATTAAAACAATCTTAATGGCTAATTTGGTTTTAGAATAAACTTGAGGGCAAATACTCTTTAATCTAGAACAGTCCTGGGAAATCTGGCCAGCCTGGAGGGCATTTTTGAATAAGAGAAGTAACTTCACGCTCACCCAGGTAATTTGGCTTTATTATTACCTAAATTCTTCAGCAATCACAAATCCAAACTAATTCCTGATGATAGAGTATCATGCAGATCAATGTCTAATACTGGGTTTGTTTATTTGTTTCCTATTTTCCTTCAAAAAACTTGCAGATACTATTCCCTAACTTGGACAAATAACTAGGTATTGCTATACCTAAATGTCACAGGTTCATTTTAAAATGTTGTAAATGATATAAACCCTGATTTTTAAAATTTATGTTTAGCAATATAATGGTGACTTTTGTTTGTTTGGCTTGGTTGTTTTGTTTTGCTTTGTTTGCAGTGCTAGAGATTGATCCCAAGGGTACTCTACCAGCTACCTCAACATGCCCAACACTTTTTACTTATTTGTTTATTTTTTGAGGCAGGGTCTTGCTAAATTGTGGAGGCTGGCCTCAGACTGCCTGAGTCCCCCAAGTTGATGGGATTACATAGACATTCACTATTGCACCCAGCTCGTAATTTCAGTTTAAAAGTTTATTTCTATTGTTTCTTTTACAGTAAGTGGTGACACATTGTAAGGTCTAAAGTATAAATCATGTTTGGGTACCTAATACAAAAACTTGTAGTTTCTTTTAAATAAACTGTGATGGCCAGAGGAACCATATTACTTATTTGCTGTTTTTCTGTCCAGGAACATTTCATGGAAGTAATCAGAAACCAGGAATTTGTATTACTGCCAGCCAGTGAAATTGCAAAGCTCTTGGCCAGTGATGACATGAACATTCCAAATGAGGAGACAATATTGAATGCACTTCTTACTTGGGTCCGTCATGATTTGGAACAGAGACGGAAAGACCTCAGTAAACTTTTGGCTTATATTAGGCTACCTCTTCTTGCACCACAGGTAATTAATAAATACTTCTTTATAGGTTTTTTCTTTGCTTGTTCTATCAAATTTTTACATATATTCCTATAAAACATATAGGTGAAAAGATAATAAGCTAATAAGATTCTTCTTACCTAAGTTGCATCAATTAAAATTCTTGATTTTGAATTATAATTTTGACTCAGCTACAAACCTATGTTACCAGTTGGAGGAGAATTAATAACAAAAGAAACACTGGACTCTAAAAACCAGAAAATTTAGATTAGTTCATTTGCCTCACATTTATTAAGTATCCACTAAATACCTAAATTCTATCCATATGCAGATTAATTGAATTAATCTAAGATTAATAAGATATGATGATAGTTCCACCTGTGACATTTTAAAATTCTGTGACTTGGCATATTCTCACACTACAGTTTCTTTGTCTATCAAGTAGAGATAACATCCTTTCTGACCATCTCACAGGATTATTATGAGGGTCAGAAATGTGTTCTGTGAAATAGCATGTGCTATAAATAAGATTACCTTACTTGTATTAATCTTGAAAATGTATTCCTGTTGTTGTGAGTGAAAGTTACTCTTTATAACTACCTTACAGAGACAAAAATCAATGCTGATGCTTTATAAGAAAGACTTTCATCTTTTTAAGTGGGATATTGTATGAACATACAGTCATGAGACTACATGAATTGATGGCAATTCAGGAAAAATAACAATAAAAATATTTCTTATGAAATCAGATTTAAAGAAAGTAGTTATTTTTTTTTTGCTTCTACCTAGCAGAATTTCTTTTCTAGATGAAATAAAATCTAAAAAAAAAAAATCCCATTAGATTTTGAAAAGAATCTGTGCAATTAAGTGAGACCTTTAGAATATCTATTATCCTGGATACTGCTGACAGTCATGTCCATAAGTTGTTAAGAGTTGAAAGCACTTATGAGATCATTTAGTCCAACATCTGTGGTACAAATGAAGTAACAAACCAAAAACGTAAGACTCTGTGTTCAAAATCACAAAGTGATTTCTGCCCTTCTGCACTGTGGTTTTATTTGTCTTTGCTCCTTGGCTATCATCACAGAGCTAATGAGAGATAGAGGTGGGAGTCAAATCCAGATAAAGTTCTATGCCACTGAACAATTCTGCCTCTTGAATGCACCATGTGTAAAATTGCTGGGTGGAGGAAAGGATATCTGGTGGAGTAAAAATAGGTCCAAACTAAATCAAATTATAACATATACTATAAATATATATATATATATATATATATATATATATGATTGTAATATATATTTTATATATATATATATATATATATATATATATATATATATATATATGGAGAGAGAGAGATAAAGATTGTGATAAATGGATCATGAAAATAATAGGAGTAGCCCACCACAAGTGATGGTGGAGAAGCAGGGGATCTCTTTCCTAAAGTGAGCCACATAATCTATACCATGAGTTAGCTACCAAAAGAGGGGCACAATACCCAGGGGAGATAGGAGATTGTACCTTGTTATGGAGTCATGAATGAATATATTATTTGTTCTGGAATTTGAAGCTAGTTCACATGGCTAGAGTATAGAAATAAAGTGGGGCCGTGTCAAAATATGAGGTAGGAGAGGAATATGGACCAGATCATGAAGACCCTCTAGTCATGCCAAGGAGTTTTAATTTTGTCCTAAAAGCAATGATGAAGCACTAAAGGAAATGACATAACTGATTTTATTTTGGAAAGATTGCTGCAAACACATTGCAGAGAGTGGATCCAGGGGGTCAAAACTAGAAACCCATTAGCAGGGTTTTTGGAGTTCAGCCAAGTGAAATAGGCATTCTGGCAGAGGAAGTAGAGAATTACCAGACGCAAGAGCTATCTAGAAGGTCAAGTTGACACAGCTTAATGACTCAATGGTAGAAATTAAGGAGGGCCCAAGATGATTCTGATTGGTGCAATAGGTTAGTAAAGATGCTGTCATTTGAATCAAGAAATACAGGATGAAGAGCTAATTTGGGGTATGGAGTGGGGAAGGAAGTGGGAGAATCATATTCCCAAAACTTCTAAGTTTCTTTAAAGATTAGAGCTAACATGACTTGGGGATTTTAGTGCTGATAAACTTGGAGTCACACACACACACACACACACACACACACACACACACATAAACATCTGTATTTTTCTAGATTTTGCATTGTCTACTAATGTTGTTTCATAATACTTTGGCCTATAAACAATCTTTATTTTTAGGTCAAATATGTGTCATTTTTCTTAGTTTCAGAATTTCCAGTCTAGTTAGAGAGTGCTTTTATTACACTTTGCACATGTAGCCTCCTAGATTATCTGGCAAAATTTCATTGCTTTATCTCTTTCACTGAGGCCATTGGTTCATGTGACATAGAACAAGTGGAGGAATATTTTTATTTTTTTCCAGATAAAGACAGTTCTGCACCTGAATCATTTTATTAAATAATAATCATTTATTAAATAATTCACTCCATTTCCAAATGAATTGAACCTTGATCATATATTACAGCCTCAAAAGCAGATCTCGTATCTTTTTTTAAAAAAAATGTGTGTGTGTGTGTGTGTGTGTGTGTCTGTGTAGTTGTAGATGGACAGCATGTCTTTATTTTATTTTTTATGCAGTGCTTATTTTTTATGTGGTGTTTAGGATTGAAGCCAGTGCCTCACATGTGCTAGGCAAGTGCTCTGCCACTGAGCCCCATCCCCTCATATCTTTTTTGATTCTTTGTTCTATTGATCTATTTGCCTAGTTCTATTCTAATACTGTGTTTTTATGCAGAATCTTTATAGCATATTCTATTATTTGATATAAGTCTCCCCTCACTGTTAATTTTCATAGTTTGCTTGGCTATTTTGGAGTCCTTGTTTTCCATATAAACCTAAGATGGTTTTATCCAATTCCCTCTCATCATCTGGATTCTTTTGGTATTCTATTGTGAACTGCACTAAATTTCTTTATTAATTTTGAGTTTATATTTTGATATTAATGTGTTCTGTTTACGAAGTTTTTCCATTTTTTGTATAGCTTTCTTCACATGAGTCTTATGCCCTTCTTGTATTAAATACATTCCTAAATATTTTATTTTCTTTTAGCTATTGGGTATATATCTTAAAATTTTCATGTTTATATTTTGCTGGAAGAAAGCCAGTCTTCTGATTATTTTACACTTGTATTTTAACCTGCTACTTTACCAATTCCCTGATTACCCTCTATTATTATGTATACAATCATAACTATCACCAAAGAGGGAGAGTTTGACATCTTTTTCTATGTATACACCAGTTATTTTATTATTACTTTGTAAAAACCTTCAAAGCAATGTTTAAATAAGTAGAGTAAAATGGAGCATCCCCATTCCTGATCTTAACTGACATGTGTTATTGTTTTATTAGTTAGGATAATCAGTGATATAGTGTCAGACAATCCATCTTTATTAAGTCTGTCTCCTCTTCCTGTTTTAGAGTTTCAAATTAAGACTGGTTGCCAAATTTTTTCCAAATACCTGTTATCAATTATATTACTTTCTCTTTCAAAGTTATGATGTAATGAGTGCTTTGCAGATGAGGATGTGATTAAGCTTAAATATGATGATAGAAAGAGCTAACACACATACACACACACACACACACACACACAGAAGAGCTAACACTTAGTACCAACTATGCCAGACAATACATTATGAAATACAAAGAATATCTTGTTAATTTTTCTATTGATCACATATCGAAATGATAATATTTTGAATATACAGGGTTAAATGACATGAAAATTAGTTTCAGCTATTTCTTTTCTTTTTTATGTAGTTATTTAGATATAATGCCATGTGTGTCTTCTTTGATTGGACAGTGCTGGCCCACACGCTGCACTGGTCCTTCATTGGCAATACCTGCACTTTGTATAGGGCTATTAGCAAAGTGAATGAACTATTAGAATGAATGATGCATTGTAAAGCAACAACAGAAAAAAAAGAGGCAAAGGGAGAAAGAAAATTTACAAATGGCCAAAATATAAAAAGATGTGTATGAGAGGGAAAGGTGCTACCATTGGCAAAATGAAAAGAACTAACACTACTTCCTGGCAGGAATGTTGTGCTCATAGCTGGTGCAATGATGAATTAGTACAGCCTCTTTGGAAAGCATTCTGATGTTTATACATCTTTTATATTTATATACACCTTTTGAACTGCCCGGGGGCATCAGCACTTGTATATGTTAAGGTATGTGTACACACACTGGAAAAAAACAATGTTCATAATAATAAGATGGCTAGAAAATGTTAGTATAACTGTTAATTATTTATAAGAATACATCTGAACAGTATTTCTTTAGGAAGACTTGAAGAATTTTTCATGAGATATTGTTAAATAAAAATGATAAGATGCAGCAAAGCATATAATACAACAAATAGTAAAAGAGAAACCACATGCCACACACACATATGAGAATTATGTCCTCAGAGGACTGTTAAGTAGAGAAAGAAATGAAAAGATGCACATAGGTTGTTGGTTGGGCAGTGAGGAGTTGCACAATAGGGAGGCATGATGGAGAGCCCAGCACAAAGGGAAAATAATCATTTTTAAAAGATAGGTTATAACAGTTTTTATGCATTTACATAAAATAAGATTCAGTGAAGCACGAGGAGGGTTAATTTTTCTTTTAGAGTAATCACAGTTCTTTGTCCTTTGAGAAATTGGTAAGTTGTTTTTTGGTGGTAGTATTTGTACATCATTTAAAGAAGTCTGGTAAGTGCAGAATAATTAGTCAACACCCACTTAGTATTTCTCAGTTAAAGTTATTTCTAATTATAACTGTAAAGTGATTTATGTTGGAAAATCTGGAAATTATAGAAAAATAATAAAAAGATTAATTAATATATGTATATAATAAATAGACCTTTCATTGTTCTTTAATAAAAAAAAATTTGGTTAAAAAAATTACTTATAAAGTACCAGCATTCCCACTACCCAAGAATAAGTGCTATTAGGTTCTTAGCTGGGTACGGTGGAGCAGGTCTGTAATCCCAGCAGCTTGGGAGGCTGAGGCAGGAGGATTTCGAGTCCAAAGCAGCCTCAGCAAAAGCAAGGCACTAAGCAACTCAGTTGAGACCCTGTCTCTAAATGAACTACGAAATAGGGCTGGGGATGTGGCTCAGTGGTTGAGTGCCCCTGAGTTCAATCTGCACTACCCTCCCCCAAAAAAAGGATCTTAGAGTACATCACATATGCTCTTCAATTTTTGCCTTTCAATGACATTTAAAATGAAAATCTTGCAAATGTTGCATGTTTTAGTTTCAAATGTGTTCAAATTTGAATTTTTGTTTTCAAAAAACATGATAATTTCCATTCAAAAACTAGTATCATTTATTCTTTCAACCTTACTGTTTTCTTGGTCATTCAGTATATATATATATATCATTCATTTCTAGTTCCTGGCAGACATGGAAAATAATGCACTTTTTCGGGATGATATAGAATGTCAGAAACTCATTATGGAAGCAATGAAGTATCATTTATTACCAGAGAGACGACCCATGTTACAAAGTCCTCGGACAAAACCTAGGAAGTCAACTGTTGGTACATTATTTGCAGTTGGAGGAATGGATTCAACAAAAGGTATTTATTTGGAAGAACAGAAAAAAAGAAATTTTAATAAGTAATAATTATGACCAAAGAGCTCTTTGGAGAAATGGCTGGTTGCAGGACAAGGGCAAAAAAGAATTACAAGATAAGCCTGGAACGTAACTCTAGTGCCAGAAAGAAAGTGCTCGAAGAATGATGGAAACAGGTCAGTACTCCCAGCGAGCAGTTTGTAGGGGTTACCACTGTCTAAATCTGGGGTAATTTGGGTATCAAATAATAGACTCAAGAGACTGAGGGAGGAGGATCACAAGTTCAAGGCAAGCCTCAGCAAATTAGCGAGGCCTTCAGCAACTTAGCAAGATCCTGTCTTGAAATAAAAAATAAAAAGGACTAGGGATGTAGCTCATTGGTACAGTTCCCTGGGTTTTATGCCCAGTACAAAAATAATGATAATAGTAAAGGAGTATAACTAAATACATTGGTAAATGTCTGAATCCATGCTGATAAAGAAGGGAGAGGAAAGTTTTTTCTTTACAGTAGAAGTGCCAACTGTTAGGTGCAGAAGGAAAGATGGAATTTAAAATGTTGCCATTTAGCAGCCATCAAAATCCAAATTATGAAATGTTCCAAAATCAAAACTTTTCAAGTGTCATGTTGGTTCTCCAAATGCTGGAGGTGCTCTTCATCTCATAATTTCAGATTGAGGACGCTCAACCAGTAAAGTCAATCAGTCAATCAATCAGAAACACTCAAATCAGAAACACTTCTGGTCCCAAGTATTTTATGTATCAGTCAAGAATCCTCAGTGTAAGCCAGGCATGGTGTTGCATGCCTGTAATCCAACTAGTAGGGAGGCTGAGGCAGAAGGATCACAAGTTCAAGGCCAGCCTCAGTCTCAAAATAAAAATAAATAAAATTAAAAAGGGTTAGGGATGTAGCTCAATGGTAGAGTATCCCTGAGTCCAGTCCCTAGTACTGCAAGAAATGAAAGGAAAAAGGAGTTATCAGTGCATGGTAAGACTGATGGGAGAAAATTTGAGAAGAGGATATTTAGACTCAAAGTACCTCCTAGCCACATACTTATTAGGTACAAAGGGTAAAATAGTATCTTTACAATGGAGAGCACTGGCACATATCCACTTAACCATTCACTTAATCAAAGATAATGTTGCCAGTAATGAGAATGAGCGGCAGCATGTGCCTCTTATAGGATGCACTGTGAAAAACTCAGCAGCACACCTGTGGTATTCTTGTGAAAAGCCTATAACCTGAATTCAATCTTGAGGAAAAAACAAATCTAAGTTGAGAGACAGTCTACAAAATAACTTGTCTGTCTGTAGTTTTCAAAAATGTCAATGTTGTGAAATACAAGGTAAAAAATAAAAGATTCAGACATTGTTCCAGATTACCAGAGAATAAAGACACATAGCAACTATTATAATCAATCATCTTGGTTTTTCTTTTGCTTTAGAACATAATTGAAATGAATGAAAAACTTCAAATAAGGTCTGTAGATTAGATAGCATGTTTAATGTTAGTTTTCAGACTTTGATAATTGTATTGTGGTTTTATAAAAAAATGTTGTTCTGAGGAAGACACACTAAAGTATTTAGGGGTATAGGGTCATATCTCTGTAACTGGCTCTTATGCAGTTCAGAGGAAGAAAGGCATGCACACACACATGCAGACTAGAAAACAAATGTAGTAAAATGTAAACATTTGGGAAATCTGGGTCAAAGTATCTGGGAATTTTTTATACCATTCAGTTTTTACTAATGATAAAAATAACAGTAATGAACAATATACATAGTACCTACTGGCTGCCAGGTATTATGTTAGAAGCTTCTATGTGTTAATCTCTCCATATACATTGATCTCCCCTGTGTCTACATTCCTAGTACTAATCATCTACAATCCTTTGACAGTACCTCTCTAATTTTAGCTTATTTTGGTTCTTCCCTTGCTCTTCTCTTCCAGCCCCTAGAGATTGAAGCACCATATATATTTGTTTACTGTCTCTCTACCTCTTCTCCTCAAGTAAGCTCCAGAAAAGCAAGGAGTTAATATATCCTGAGAGCCTAGTACAGTGCCTTGCACATAGAGCATCAGTATCTGTCAGTGAATGAAGATTTGCTTTGCCATCTCTTGAATTACTTGTACAACTGAAGCCCTAAATTTATTAATCCTGTGTGTTTTTCTCCTGTGTGTTATCTATAAGGAATATAAAATTATGAGCTCTAATTGAAAGTTTTGTATGTTATTTATCTTGTATGTTCATGGAAGCAAAGACTGACATCATTTGATATATCTGTCTATAGATTTGATTTTATTTTCATAGTTCTAACTTGTTTAAAATATCTGTCATTACATGTGGTGCTAGGCTTTGTAGTCATTACTAGCTCCTCTTCTCCTCTCTCTTTCCTTCTCTTTTTCAGGGCTTTAACTGTTTATCTCTGTATTAATCTGTATATTCTACTCTCTTACTTTGACTTTATTCTCATATTCCCAACTTGTTGAAAATATCTACTTGACTTTCACCATTCACTTCAAACGTGGCATGTTTAAATCTCTGACTATGTCTCCCAGACTTAAGAGTGTAGAACCAAAATAAGTTTTCTTCAGTGGACATCAATTCTGGCTCATTTAAACAGATAAGGGAATTTATTAGAAGGCGGATGAGACAAGGGCACTGTGTCCACTGCCTGCTTCTTACTAATGACCTGTGTTTAACTTCTGTATGCAAGCGTTAGGTCAATCCTGAGCATTAAATGTCTAAGGGAAGGAGAACAAGTATCTGTCTTTCCAGTTTTCTGGGAGATGAGTTGCTGCCTTCTATCAAGACTTATACATACAGTGGAAAATTGTCCAAGCAAGAGAAGGAAGCTCAGATTCTAGTACCCAAAGGAAAGAATTCTCTGTCTCTCAGATCTTAAATTCTGACAGCTGTGTCTTCCTTCACATGGGTCTTGTATCTAATTCCTTCAGATCTCCACTGCCCTCTTTCCAATATTCCAGGTAGCCTCCTATCAGCCTACCTATTTGGATCAGGTTAGCTTGGGGGAAATAGCACTCATTATGTTGTGAGTATCTGTTATTAGGAAAGCTCTAAGAGCCGAATAGAGTTCTTGCTCTCTTTTATAGTTGAGGATACCAAGACTAAAAGAAGTTAGTAACTTTTCCAGGCTCACATAACTAATTAGTGATGAGATAAGGATATAAACAGGCATTTTAACACTGGAGACCATTCTCTCTGCTCCATTAACTCTTCAGTTAACATTGTCACTACTCTGCTCAAAAACTCCAGAGATCTTTATTTCTTACCACATAAGGAATAAATTCCTCATTTCAGCTTTTAAGACATTCTTTAATCTGGTCCTGCTGCTCGACCAACTTTATGTCTGAATCTTTCTTAATATTCAAATACTCTTGACCCTCTATCCTATATAAGCTATCTTCCCTCTCTTTATCTTATTCCCAATATCTTTATAATGAAAAATGGTTTGCCTTTGTTGGATGGTAGTCAGATCATTCACTCTTGATCCCTTCATATGTCTTTTTAGTATAGAGTCCAACAAATAAGCTGATGATGATTCTAGATAGCCACTAGAAAGGTGTCAGAAATATTTGTGCTTACTTTTTAAAGGTTAGTCCTTCGTTATAAGTTAAGGACATTCTAAGCTTTTACACGAAACTTTACAATTGTTAGGATTTTTTTATTTTTGGAATGTTTGGATTTTTTAAAATATTTGCAACTGTTTTAATATTTTGTATGCATTAGACTTGAAATTATCAAAAGAAGTTTTAGTTTTGAATTCATTACACTGTGATACTACTTAGTAAACTAGATATTTAAAAAAAAATAACTTAGGGGCTGGGAACTTAGTTTAGTGGCAGACTGCTTGCCTAGCATGCTCAAGGCCCTGGGTTTTATCCCCAGCACCACAAAATTAATTAATTAATTAATTAAAGTTCAAAATAAAGATATTTCTTAAATATATTAGTGAAGAGAGATGATTAACCTTTATTTGATGGGAGTTTTTATTTGATTTGATTAATTTTATGGAAGGAAAAGATTTTAAGATTTTTTTGTTTTGTAATGTTTTATTTTTTTATTTATATAATGACAGCGGAATGCATTACAATTCTTATTACACATATACAGCCCAATTTTTCTGTCGGAGTCCAGCTCCAACAGGGGGTCTCAGGAGATGAACGGATGGTGAGGAGTCGGCAAAAGGGGGGTGGAGAAACAACACAGACACCAAAGTGAAGGTGCTGAATCCCAATCTTTACTTGTGAAGTTAATCATATATACTTTTCATTTTGGCAGGCTCACAGTACTTTGTGGTTACAAAACAGAAATCATTATTCAAAGTATTACATAGCTACAATTAGAATAGAAGAATGTATCTTGGCTTATGCATAAGCAAGCATTTTTACTTTCAGTTCGCGTTTGGCTTTGAGCTGTTTCTGCTTAGTTAGCTTTTAATAATAGTTAGAAATGTCCCAGACTACTGGCCTATACCTTGACTATTCTTTCTTGACTTACTGACTAGAATCGGCACCACAGTTATGGCAAGTGGTTAACTTGAAAAGAGAGGCTACTAATTTTAATCAAACAAGAGCAAGAGCACAAACCATTGTGCATAAGAACAAGAACAAGTTGCCCAGCACTAAGCACTAATCTGTCTTCTTAATATTAATTCTTCTTCTTTAGATTTTAATATAATTTCTCAAAAACTTCCTTGACTGTTTTTCCTACAGGGGGTTTTTCATTAAACATTAACAATTTACATTCCACAGCTGAATCATTGCATTTAGAGCAAACAGATTTATTCTTTAGAAGTAGTTGCATTAATTGGGAAAGTCATGTTTTTTCCTTCATACTTAATGGTCATATGAGAAGTCGCAACTATACTTATTAAAGGTATACAAAAACAAACCAGCCCATTCCCAGAAGTATACTGCGCTCCTCCAGAGGATGCACGCCTTGCGCCATCCACCTCAGTAGGGCCTTGCCATTGCCTGAGTCAGGGGAGGGGCGCAGCATTTTTCATATCTCTGGTTGTATACAAAGTATATTCATACCAATTTGTGTCTTCATACATGTACTTTGGATAATAATGTCCATCACATTCCACCATCATTTCTAACCCCATGCCCCCTCTTCCCTTCCCACCCCTCCGCCCTATTGTCTATTCCTTCCATGCTCCCTCTCCCTACCCCCCTATGAATCAGCCTCCTTATATCAGAGAAAACATTCAGCATTTGGTTTTGGGGGATTGGCTAACTTTACTTAGCATTATCCATCCATTTACCTGCAAGTGCCATGATTTTATTCTCTTTTACTGCTGAGTAATATTCCATTGTGTATATATGCCACATTTTTTTTTATCCTTTCGTCTATTGAAGGGCATCTAGGTTGGTTCCACAGTTTAGCTCTTGTGAATTGTGCTGCTATAAACATTGATGTGGCTGTGTCCCTGTAGTATGCTGTTTTTAAGTCCTTTGGGTATAGACCAAGGAGTGGGATAGCTGGGTCAAATGGTGGTTTCATTCCCAATTTTCCAAAAAGTCTCCATACTGCTTTCCATATTGGCTACACCAATTTGCATTCCCACCAACAGTATGAGAGTATCCTTTACCCCACATCCTCGCCAACACTTATTGTTGTTTGTATTCATAATAGCTGCCATTCTGACTGGAGTGAGATCATTTTTGAAGTGATAAATGACATAAACTCTTACATGAAGTAATCTAAGCATATGAATAGAATTTCATTATTGTGAAAAAGTTATAAAGAAAGATCACTCACATTCAAAAGTATTTTTGAACAGCTACTATTAGAAAGGATTCTGTTTGGTGCTGTGAAGAAAAAAGATGGAAAGAGACTTGGTATTAATCCCAAATAACTTAAAACTGCATAGGGCCAGTTTAGAAAAAGAACTATAACATAAGAAAATATAATATCTATATATAGAACAAAACTGTTTGTAAATTTTAGGAGATTGTCAATTTTTAGGAGATTACTAGTTCTCTGACCTAATATAACAAATACTTTAGAATAAATGTTTGTCACGATCATAATTCTGTAAGGCTAGCACTGATGACTTGGTATATTAGAAGCTTAGGAGAAAGGATTCTAATTGAAGTCTTCATGATTGGGGGCTGGGGTTTTTTTGAGGAGAGGTGGGGGTTTTGTTTGTATTTGGTTTGTTCTTGGTTTTTGTTTTGTTTTTAATCTCTACGGGTTTTAACTCATAAAGAGACTAGTTCTGGAATCTTCCAGTTTTTAAAACAATGTAGACAGCATTAGCAGAAACTACCTAACGTTCCATACTTAAGTTCCCACAACACAGACCTTTTGCCCTTCCTCCTTGCATAGATGTGGTTCCCTCTTCCTATAGAAGCCAGCCTCTGCCTGTGCTGTGGGTAGTACCCTTTCCTGCCTCCTCAGGAACCTCACACTATTAATTATGATTCCTTTTCATCTCCAGTGTTTTCAACTTCCTTCTTTTCAACTAGATTCCTCCCATAAGCATTTAAACCAACTCAAGGTTTTCCAATTTTAACAACAAAGTAAAACCTCCATCAACCCTCCTTGTAACCCCTTTCTTCCTCCTCCCTTTTGTAGCAAAACTTCTTAGAAGAGTCCTCTGTGCTCGCTATTTCCAATTCCTCACCTCCTATCATGTCTCAGCCACTTAGTTAAGAAAGTCTTCCTCATGTCACCAGTGGCCTCCATGTAGCTGAGTCCAGTAATATCTTTTAGTCTTTGTCTTAACTTGCTTCTCTCAAGAGCGTTGATGATGTTAGCCAGCCTCCCTGCTACCAGCGTTTTACCTTTGCCTTGTATGACACTAACCTCCTCTGCTTTTCCTCCCACTTCTGGCCATAGTTTCTCAGTCTCCTTTGACAGCTAATCCTTGCCCACTTTACCTTTTAATTCTGGGCCTGGCGTATGCCCTGGAGAATGGTAGGAGATGAGGTCATGGATGTAGGAGGAGCCCGATATTGCAGGGGCTTCATGGGATACAGTCAAAGTATTGTTCTCAATGCTAATAAAAATTATCCTTTTGTATGCATAATTTTATAAAATAGTCAATCATGGTGGCATTTTCATTCACATAATTTCTGCATATTACTGTTAAGGAGCAACAAGCATTGAAAAATATGATCTGCGTACAAATACGTGGACTCCTGTGGCAAATATGAATGGGCGGAGGCTACAGTTCGGTGTTGCAGTGTTAGATGACAAACTGTACGTGGTTGGAGGGAGAGATGGACTGAAGACTTTGAATACTGTAGAATGCTACAACCCCAAAACAAAAACTTGGAGTGTGATGCCTCCAATGTCCACACATAGGCATGGCCTTGGTAAGTATAGCTGCAGATTCACTATACTGTCGTACATCTGCTGCCATGGTATTTTACATTCTATACCAGGAAGCAGACAACCAACATAGCAGCTGAGTCGGTAGTAATCAACCACCAAGCAATTGTTCTCATACTCCTGTTATCTGAGAAGCAGAAGCAGAGAAAACAAGCACATACACAAGTATGACAGCAGCCAGTGCAGGTAAAAACACACATATCTGAGGGGTTTAGGGTAGCAGCATGGTCGAAGCCACCTTTTCACAGAAGTGTTCTATGTTTGCAGTTAGTTTTACCTAACCTCATTTAAATGCTTATTTAAAAATCTTAGCATTATTATTTTTTATATTTATGTATCCCCTGGTTTTTAAACAGAAATGGAATAAAAACTCAGAAGAATTTTGAGGTGGCACAGAGAATGTAGTAAGAGAGACTTTGATTTTATCACTCAGTAATTTACTGAGCATGATTAGCATATACTGTGTGCCCTGCTCTTTTTTCTGTGTGTTACACAGATGAAGACACTGTCTTCACCCTCAGGGAACTGAGGGTTCATTCTAAGATGCATGGAAGATAAGTTAGGGACCTCTTTTTTCTCAGTGAAATAGGATAACAAGTTGTTTTATGAGAATAAAGGAGGTAGAATTAAAACTAGATGGGACTTAAAAGGTGTGTGCATCACCCAGCTTTTACTGCATAACAAACCAGTCCAAAATGGAGAAGCTTAAGGCAACAACTATTTATTTGGCTCATGGGTCAAAAGGACAGTTTTTCTGGTTTAGGCTGCCTTGGATGATCTCTGCCAGGTTTTCATAAATCTGTGGTGGGCTGGCAGGTTGACTAAATGATCTGGGATTGCCTTATTCACATGTCTGGTTGTTTTAGGCAGGTTGTTGGCCTGGCCAACAGCAGCAACTGCCCATATGACTCTAATCCTTCAGCACATTAGCCCTGTGTTCCTTCACATGGTGGCATCATAGGGTTTTGAAAGCAGGAGAATGCAAGCCACAGTGCTCAAAATTTCAGGCCTCTACTTGCATTATGTTTGCTAATGCCTCACTGACCAAGACAAGTCCCGTGGGCAAGCCTTGGTTTAAAAAGTAGAGAAATAGATTCCTACTGTTCATGAAAGGACGGACCTATAGTCACATTGCAAAAAGATGTAAATTCAGAGAATGAAGAATCAGTGGCTTTATGGTCAGTTTATCAGATTAGAAAAGGTTTATAATAGTTGGAATAAAGAATTTGATAGGTCACTATAAAAGATGGATGCATAGCAATGAAAGCACAGTTGAATTTAGCTAGCATGGTGTATACTCAATTTATTAAATTAATACTAGGAACCAGTGTAGATAAAGGCTGCTCAAAAAAGCCAATAGCCAATAATAAATGCTATCTAGGAATAAAGACTGGTGTGGTGACAGGAACAACAAAACAGCAAAGGGACAAGGAATTCTACTAGTTGGTAATTAGGTTTCAGTGAAAGATAATATATTAAGTTTCAGTACAGGAGTAAAAGCCAAAGAGTTGGGCTAAGGGACACTGAAAGGAGGAGTTTAAAATTAATTATATGAAATGTAACAAAGAAAACTGTAAAACATTACTCTGAAGTCCATAAGATCAGCTAATACATAGGCACAGAATAGGAACATGTATCTTAAGAACAAATCAGATTTATTCATTTTTGTTTTGTTTTGTTTGTGCTGCTGGAGATCAAACCCTTGGCCCTGTAAATTCTGAGCTACACCCCTAGTCTCTGAATGAGATATAAATTTGGATTTACTATAAACAAGGGTTGATAGTTTAATTCAACTACATACTTCTTCTACCATGTAGAGAGAAACCTATTCTAATTTAAGGTAAATATAGTACATAGAATATAATGATTCATGATTTGTGCCAGCTGGATTGTGCATGAAATGCCATCATGAGTTCCAGTTGCCATATGAAAGACATTGTGAACCACAGCCAGTTAGAGGATGATAGTCAATAGTTTAAATGTCTTCTTTAAGTCCTAATTCAAAATTTTTATTTCATTTATTCAAAACAACCTTGGTTTTACCTTATTAATAAGTAAATTTTATAAATTTGAACTCACTTTATTTAAGAACCACTCCCTTTATCTCTTCATATGTGAAAATTATATGAAGAGTTTATTTGAAAAAAAAAGCTTCTACAACTAAAATTTCTTTCTCAAAGCTATTGTTTAAGGGGTTGGACTAGGAGGACTCTTTTTCCTTTACCCTTTGATTAATTACATATTACATGTTTTCATAGTACATCTAAAATTGGATATGTTATAAAATTGGCAATATATAAATATTATAAATATATACCCATACACATATATAATCTCCAGTAGTCAGCACTGTGGGGCACAAAACATGATATAAAAAATGAGTGAAGTAAAATGTTACTTTGGGTTATGCATGAAAAACAAATATTTTAATCTTATCTAACCATGATCTCACAAATTAAAATATATTTGTATTATAAAAAGTTTTTTGCCCTCGAGTTTTTTACCTCACCTGGCCATAATCATGTCCTACCTCTTTTCAAAACCCTCTATTGGCTCTTCTTCTCATTAAGAGTAAAATCCAAAGTCCTCAAACAAGGTCAGTGTACTTATTTCTGACTGCCCTGTGTGATGTGACTCTGCACTCTTCCTCCTCACCTACACTCACCCCCTCAGTCTCCCTGCTTCGCCAAACTGGCCACGTGCTATACCTCAGACACACCGAGCATTACTCTGGGCCTTTGCTTATGCTGTTCCTTCTATTTCATTCTCTTCCCAAAGATAACTCCATGTCTGATCTCCTAACTTCATTCACTCATCAGCTCAAATGTCACCTTATCAGAAAAGTCTCCCTTGGCACTCTCTACCCTTTTATTTTGCTCCTTATTGTGCCTGTGTCTTAAAAATATAAGGTCCAAATGGGTCTTATATTTTCAGGAGACACAAAATAGATATTTATTAGAACATCTGACAAGTTCTATTAAATGTCTGGCCCTTAGTAGAAACCCAATAGATAATTGTTGAATCCAATTTGACTCCCTGGCAGTGAATCAATCAATTGGCTTATAACAAATCTAACTATAGTAAAATATCATTAATTTGAATTAATAGGGGGAAAAGAATAAATTTTTTTTCAAATATGTCTTAAATCCAGAATTTTAAAAAATGTTTTTGGCACTGTATCTGGTATAGTTTTAAATTAACTTTCCACTGTCATGCCTGGAAATAACAGTTTCTAAAAGCTCTAAGAGCAGAACTACAGTGCTATTTTATCCCTACCCACCTACCCACTAAGAGGAGCAATGAGGAAGGCAAATATCTAAAGTACAGATTTTTGATTGGTTACATTTATATGTCTAAGGTGTATTGTCCTTCGAGTTCAGCTTACATGTGATGTTGGCAGCAAATATTCTTGGCAGTCATCACCTCTCCCTGTCTGTGTTTAGGTGTGGCTGTGTTGGAAGGTCCCATGTATGCAGTAGGCGGGCACGATGGCTGGAGCTATCTGAACACAGTAGAAAGATGGGACCCTCAGGCTCGTCAGTGGAACTTTGTTGCCACCATGTCCACCCCCAGGAGCACAGTCGGTGTGGCAGTACTAAGTGGCAAGTAAGGAAGTGCTTAAAATTCATTAAAACGCGATACCTGAAATTTATTAAGCAGTATCATTTCCAGTTTAAAGAAATGTATAAATACTTCAAGTGATTTAAAGAAACTTTTTAAACAATGACTCTTTTTATAATTTTAAAAACAAATGAAAGCCCATCATTGGGCTTTCATTCTAATGTGCAAATGCTGTCCATTTTTAATCATCATTTAGAGTGAAGAGATTCTTATGTAAATATCCATATTAAAGTTTAAACCAAAAGGTCAAAACTAAGGGAAGACTTGAGTTGGTTTTTTTTTTCTCTTTTTTCATATTTTCAGATTCTTTGATGGCTGACTCATCTACCAAGTAGCTATTAAAAATGTAAATTATACTGTAAAAATATGATGATTTATATATATATACCTTTAAAAGTATATGGTCTTTTAAAAGTAGGGCAGTCTGTTTCTATGTTCCTCTAAAACTTCCTTCTATCTTCTCTACTGACTTGTCTTTAATTTGGCTCCTCATCTTTCAAAACTTGGTAAACTGGCAAAACCAGAATGGATTTGGAAGGAGGCTCTCTCTTGCCTCTCATCTGCTATAAATAAACTGATTTAGATAGACCTTCACCCGTATTTCCTGGTTACTTAAAAACTAAATGTGAAACTTTTTCACTCCTTTCGTCTGTGAAATGAAGCCCTCCGTGAATGTTAAATAAAATTTTTTGTTGCATTCATTTTGTATTATTATTTCCAGAAAGAGAAGAAATCAAAAAATAGAAACTTAGAATTGTTAGTAGAATTGTATTTTAAGAAAATACACATATCTGCTCTCCTTACCTCTCCCTTCCTTTATTTTAGCTAAAGAAATAACTTACAAATGTGTCACTATGTATCTTTACTAACTTTGATACAAACATCAACCATTACAAATCTGAAAATAAGAAAAAAGAAGAAAATTAAATCAGTCCCTTGTTTGTTTAGACCTTTTTTTTTTTTTTTTTTTGAGAGAGAGAGAGAGAGAGAATTTTTAATATTTATTTTTTAGTTTTCGGCGGACACAACATCTTTGTTTATATGTGGTGCTGAGGATTGAACCCGGGCCGCACGCATGCCAGGCAAGCACGCTACCACTTGAGCCACATCCCCTTGTTTAGACCTTTTGGGTTAAACTTCAGGGATTAGTTTGTTGGGTGAATTTTTGTTCAATGTCAAGTTTCTGAGCTCTCATTTCTAATAGAGGACAAAGGAACAACCACCTTCTTTCTTTAAAACCTGATTTCCAGAAATAAAAATAACTTACTTCCTTACCTTTCTTTGTCTCCTAATGATAAGTAAATATTTCACATTTTAACCTGCTGGAAATTTAATTAATTGAATATAATTGAGACAGCCTTGAATAACTTCCTCTTTTTACTATCTTACCTTATTTTATAATGTTCAATGGAACAAATGTAGTTGTGTTTATGTTTTATGCAATACATTCTATATCTTAACGTTTCCAGAATATTGAATTTTTCCTTTCTATGGTATTTGACAAAAAGAAGCTTTACTTAGACTTCCTTTCTTCTCTCATCAGGCTACCTCTAAATTGTTGTTAAGATATTTTTAACAGTAAAATCTCTCTCTTAACTTTAAGTTCAAGTTTAAATTTTATAAAAATGATATAGAAGAATAACTCAGTTTTCAAGAACATCCAGCTTAGTTCTGTTTTCTTTTGGTTGTCTAGTAGTATGAGAAAATCCTGATTCACAGATAAAAGGTTGAAATGGCAATAGTTATTTTAATTACTAGAGTAATTTAATTGGAGTCTCAGGAGACTCTTCCATTAGATTGCTCAAATAATTTGAAAGTAGTAGGAAAATTTTTGTTCTAAGTTGAATATCAAACAGTATCAGCCTACTACTTGCATTCTTGATCATAAATTTAAAAGTCTGTGAAGATCTAAATCTTATTCTAAAATACATAGTTCAATATTATCACAAGTTGATGGGCTGGGGTTGTAGCTCTGTGGTAGAGTACTTGCCTAGCACATATGAGGCACTAGGTTCAATCCTCAGCATCACATAAAATAAGTAAATAAACAAGTTGACATAATTTCCTGTTTTTATTGTAGTAGACACTGTCATGTGAGAAGAGAAATGAGTTCTAAATCTTGCATGGAATTTAATTGAGTCAGGTGATATTTTTGAAAATTAAAAATTCTATCAAAAACTTTAATTTCAAATGAACAATTTTGGGAATACCCCTGCGCCATTCATCTGTAAAATCCTATTCTTAGAAGACAACTTGAAAACCACTGCTTGAGATAATGATTCTTCATGAAATGTTAACAACACATTTAATTCTTTTTTTTTTTTTTTAATTTTTTATTGTTGGCTGTTCAAAACATTACATAGTTCTTGATATATCATATTTCACAATTTGATTCAAGTGGGTTATGAGCTCCCATTTTTACCCCATATACAGATTGCAGAATCACATCAGTTACACATCCATTGATTTACATATTGCCATACTAGTGTCTGTTGTATTCTGCTGCCTTTCCTATCCTCTACTATCCCCCCTCCCCTCCCCTCCCCTCCCCCCCCCTCCCCTCCCCTCCCCTCCCCTCCCCTCCCCTCCCCTCTTCTCTCTCTGCTCCCTCTACTGACATTCGTTTGTCCCCCTTATATTATTTTTCCCCTTCCCCTCACTTCCTCTTGTATGTACTTTTGTATAACTCTGAGGGTCTCCTTCCATTTCCATGCATTTTCCCTTCTCTCTCCCTTTCCCTCCCACCTCTCATCCCTGTTTAATGTTAATCTTCTTCTCATGCTCTTCGACCCTACTCTGTTCTTAGTTACTCTCCTTATATCAAAGAAGACATTTGGCATTTGTTTTTTAGGGATTGGCTAGCTTCACTTAGCATAATCTGCTCTAATGCCATCCATTTCCCTGTAAATTCTATGATTTTGTCATTTTTTAATGCAGAGTAATACTCCATTGTGTATAAATGCCACATTTTTTTTATCCATTCATCCATTGAAGGGCATCTAGGTTGGTTCCACAGTCTAGCTATTGTGAATTGTGCTGCTATGAACATCGATGTAGCAGTGACCCAGCTATTCCCCTTCTCGGTCTATTCCCTAAAGACCTAAAAAGAGCATGCTACATTTAATTCTTAATATTAACTCAGTATAAATGTTATTTGTACAATTTTAAGATCTGCTAAAAATGCTGTTTTCTAAAAGAACACAAATAGAGACAATTTTTCTTTAAATACTTATACCATGCTTACTACATGCTAAGCACTGTAATTATTAATAATACTGTGATATCATGCTTATAGATGATGAAATTGAGGCACATAGAAATTAAATAATTTGTCCACAATCACAAGGAGTAAGTGAAGAAACTAGCATTCAAATCCAGATAGTCTGGTTCAAGAATTTATGCTCTTTATCACTGGACTATATCATTTTTACAGGGAAGACCCATGGTAAGAGGGTAGAGGGCCCCAAAGCCTTCTCCACGTGTGTGTTTTATCTATTCTAAGACACATTTTTTTAACATCTCTAAAATTACAATGCCTATTGCAGTCAATGGTGACTTATCAAAGAGATGGCAGCTATTAAATAGTTGTCACTGCTTTCATGTGCAGTTATGTTTTCTTTTTCATGTATACAGGGTGATATATAACATATACAAGTGTCATTTAATTGTTAGATGTCTTATTTCTTAATGGCACATAAATTGACAGTGTCTCTGACAACTGGGCATCTTAATTCAATGAAATACCATAAGAATAGCCTCTCTGTCTTAAGCAGAGCAACAGCACTATTTCTTATTTATCATTTCTTGTGTTCTTTTTACAGACTTTATGCAGTTGGTGGTCGTGATGGAAGTTCTTGTCTCAAATCAGTAGAATGCTTTGATCCTCATACTAATAAATGGACACTGTGTGCACAAATGTCAAAAAGGAGAGGCGGCGTAGGAGTAACAACCTGGAATGGATTGCTGTATGCTATTGGAGGACACGATGCTCCTGCATCCAACTTGACTTCCAGACTCTCTGACTGTGTGGAGAGGTAATTTTCTGAGAAGGAAAACTAGGGGGAAAAAAATCAAATATAAGACTGTAGTATCTCCAGGATAATTGATAACTCTACTGAATATCCATCATGTGAGAGTGGTTCTCTGGGAGTTCTGTAGGCATGGATTGTCTGCTCTAGCCATCTCTTCTTCTGTCTGCCAGCAGCCTACTCAGATTCTTCTCTCATCATGTTACTCTGCTTACTTAAACTTTACCTTAGAATTGATTGCATAAATTATTAATTGAAGCATATGGCAAACATTTATTTTGTGCCTGTTTTGTACTGGATGCTATACCTACTAAGAAAAGGAGCTTAATGAAGTTCAGAGAGAATGAGCTAGAGGCTGGAACCTAAATAAAAAGTTAAAAGGATAGAGACATTTCTGACATATTTGTATACAAAATGAAATAATATAAAATTTTAAAAGGCTAATAATATATCTCTCTTTTTTTATGTGTGTGGTCCTGAAGATCAAACACAGGGCCTCACACATGCTAGGCAAGGACTCTTCCATGGAGTTATATCCCCAGCCCTCTGCAGCCCTTTTTAGTTTTTATTCTGAGACAAGGTCTCACTCAGTTGTCCAGGCTGACTTCAAATTTGTAATTCCCCTGACTCAGCCTCCTAAGTCACTGGAATTACAGGTGTGCACCACTGCACCCAGCAGAGGCTAGTAACAGATCTTAAAAAGCTTAATCAAGTCATTCAAACTGATTACACAAAGCTCAACTTTGGGGCCAGAGAGCCTAATACTGGGAGATTTGGATGGTACATGAGGTACCCATGTCATACATTCATTCTAGTCTAGGAATGAAGAGTATTGAATGCATTTTAGAGGTAGAATCAACAGAAGCATGTATGAACACTCTAAAGTAGAAAAGAATGTGGCTCATACAGGAAACTGAAAGGCAGCCATTGTGACCAGAGAGCAAAGAGCAATGGAGATAGCGACAGGAAGGAGTTGGAGTGGATGGGGACAGATTATATAGGGTCTTGAGACATTATAAAGGATTTTGATTTTAAAGAGGAATTGGAAGTTAATGAGTGCCCAAGAAACAAGGACTTTATCATATTTTTTAAAGATGAGGGTGATTTATTAAATAAGTTGTGACTAGAAGGATAAAAAGAAAAATCAATGTTTGTTGATAATAATGAGCACTCTGTAGAATAATAAGACTTGGTTCTTTCTTGAGAAAGCAGTCAAGTTATACCTTGTTCTTCATCTGTATGGGGATAAAACATGCTTGTCACATGTTATAATTCAGGAAGGGAATGTGGAAGACTTTATACACTTTACCCCATAAATTATGGGCTTACTATAGTACTATATCCAGCAAAATTATGTTCATTGATAGAAGAGATATCAAAAAAAAAAAAAAAATAGGTCATCTTAGCCAGAAGCATCTGCTCATCGAGAGACCACTTTGGGTGTCTAGTTAAGATGCTTCATGAAAGGGACAAGAAGATCTAAAATGGGCAACTACAAGATTGAGGGTATAAGTCATCATATATATAGCTTAATGTGCTGGCACATTAATTTTTCTACATTTTCAATAGGGAGTTTAAGGCCTTGACTTAGTTTTTAGTATTTATTTATGTTAGCTCCTTTTAAGTGTTACACATATGCTAAATTAATCTATAATACTATAATTTAAAATATTTAAGAAAATACTGATCTTTTCTCTAAAACATGTTGAAATGATTTTTTTAGTTACATAGCAGACAAGAAGACTTAAAGGACAAAACTATTTTTACATATAATATTTTGAGAACAATGTCAGCTCCAGTTCTAAAAATTTTCTTTCAGATATGATCCCAAAACAGATATGTGGACTGCAGTGGCATCTATGAGCATCAGCAGAGATGCGGTGGGGGTCTGTTTACTTGGCGATAAATTGTATGCTGTTGGAGGATATGATGGACAGACATACCTTAACACGGTGGAGGCTTATGATCCCCAGACAAATGAGTGGACCCAGGTATAGCCTTTTCATTTTCATTATCATACTCTCTTTTTGTGAAAATAATTTTTGGTAAAGAACCACTCAACTTTGTCCAATATTGAAATGTATTACATGGATATGATAAGGTCACCTCTTGATTAAATATGAAAAAACAAGAGACAATATTTAATTTTAAAATATAATTAAAATCCAAAATTACCTTCAAAGTAAAAGTTAATACTCAAAAGAAATTATTCATTGATCCCATCATTTTCTTGGTGAAATGTTCTGGCACTGATAGAGCTGATAGGGCCACAAGAGGGCTATCACAGAAGGAGGAGAAAGAATGAAAAATAAGAAGCAAGAACAGAATCAGAGAAATTTGAATAATTTGCCCATATACGAGCGATACTTTTTAAATACGGAAGCATTGATATTTGAGAGCTAATTAAATTAAATCACAACCTGATAAGATGGCAACCCTAAATTACATTAATGAATAAGAAACTGGGCATGGCAAGCTTTTAAACAGAAAGAATTCCATATCTGTTTCTGCGGAAGCTAAACACTCATAAGAATCCTCATCACCAAGACTAGAATCAGGACTTTGTGCTTATAAACACCCAGTTCAGTATTTGGCACATAAAGACAATAACTGAGTCAAGGTTTTCTTATATGCAGGGAGCAATGGTAAGTATATCCCCCAAAAAACTTCTGAGAATCTGATTGTCAAAGAACTGACTCAGGTAGGTGAGAGATATATGTGCAAAGGAAGAACCTACAGATGAGGGAGGGGATATTAAGTATATCTTCAGACAAAAGAAGTGATTGTTGGGATGGCATTAGTGAAGAAAAAGTGGGATTTTTTAAACTAAGCATCAATCTGAAGTGATCCAATTCAAAAGGTTAGAAATAAAGGAGAAATTGTGTGAGAAAACATGGAAGAAATGTCACTGACACAGAAATACACAAGACGTATTGAGGGAAAATGGCTGGTTATAAACATGCATGCTAGAGAGGAGGAGCTTTTTTAAAATATTTTTCAATACATTTATTTTATTTACTTATTTTTTATGTGGTGCTGAGGATCAAACCCAGGGCTTCACATTTGCTAGGCGAGCACTCTATCGCTGAGCCACAACCCCAGCCCGAGGAGGAGTTCTTAATGGAGAAGAGGTTGGATCAGAGTAGAGCCCTATAAAGGCCAAGCTAATTAGTTTGGTAATCAGCAGCCAGCAGAGGATTTTACCCAAGAGAGTAATACTGTTGGGCTCAGTGTAAGTTGGGTTAGGGCAGGGCAGCAGAGATACTGGATAAAAGGAAAACATTTAGAAGATTGCTTCCATTGCAAGGCTACAAGTGTTAAATATAGATGAAGTCAAGAGATATTACCATTCCCACCAACCAGTCCTTACAGACCCACACTTACTGGGTTGGACTGGAAGTGTGGCCTCTGAAGAAAGCAACAAAGGAATGATCAGAGAGAGTCTTAGGGCTAGTGGAATAAGATAGTCACAGGAAGGAGAGCGTTTCAACTACATAAAGAAGAATGGAAATTCATCATTCATGATGTTGTGGGGCCCTCTGAGAATGTGACATAAGCAGAAGCCACCACACAATTTAAAAGGTGTGGGAGCTAAAATAAATTGACATTTATTGTGCACATTATATGTATCATGCGGTAAGCACTTCACATTAAAAATGTATTTAATCCTCTCAACAACCCTGGAAGGTGTAAATGATCTTATTTCTACTGTATAGGATAAGGAACCTGAGACACAGAAAGGTTAAATAGCTAACCCAAGATCACATAGCAAATAAATGGTAGGATTAGAATTTGAGCCAAGGACTTTTTTTCACAGTAGAGATGACAGCAAGAGGGTGAGAGAGATTCTGGTAGAAAAAACAAGCAAAACTTTTGAGCATCTTCTTGAAAGAAGGATGGGAAACAGAATTAAGAGTAAAGACTGGTCATCCAGACTAGAGGGATAATATTACCTCCCGTGGCTTGAGAAAAAGATGAGAATATGAATACAATGGTACAGGGAGTTTTTAAGTGAAGAGAAAGGTAAGAAAAAGACTCTGTTACTACCTCCTTAATTTTATTTCTTAAGTAAATAAGATCTCTTGGAGAAAGATAAAAGGGATAAGATTGAGGGTTTGATTGAGGGTTTAAGATTACAGCTGCAGGATTTCCTTAGAAATTACATGATTATTAAATGCAGATACAATTTAAAAGGCTTACAAAACATTAATTGTATTTGTGTTTAATGGCACTGGCCTATCCTCAGGTTGGCAAACAACTTCTCATGAGCCCAGTGTAGCCTTATACATGCTTTTATAAATAAAGTTTAATTAGAACAACAACATCAAAAATAAATTACATAATTACCTGATGTCAGCCTCCCATGATGGCAGAAGTAGTTGTGAATGACTATGAAGAAGTCCAAAATGAGGTAGAAACTCTCTTTTTCTGAGAAGTACTTGATTTAAGCCCTTATATCAGTTATAAGAAACTCTGTTAGCCAATATTTGACACTTGTTATAACAGATAATTAATACTTTATGCTAAAAATCAGCTAGTATCAAAATCAGTAATCTGGATCACATAGCTATTTTGCTTATATTCCACCACTAATTCTCTTTTAAGGCACCTAAAAATGTGAATTTATACCCATAGAATCTGAGAATAAATGTTTTTCTCTCAATGTTTAACATATGGACAAGAGGTAATTCATATAGGGACTAAAATGAGATTACAAAGTCTCAAGCCACCACCTACCCCACTACCAGCCTTGACTCAAAGCACAAGGTGACTGCAATGTATTCCTGAAGTCTAAAAGCTAAGCTTTCTAGTTGGTTGTCATGACAATATCACCTATTGACAGTGTGGAGGCTTAATATCTTGGGAAAAATATATTGAGAAAAGCTGCTAAATACAAACTGACATTTGGTTTAAATGATTTAGAGGTTATAGATTCTATAATACTATAATAGATATGATTTTAAAATAGGTTAATTGATTTTTTTCAAGGAGAAACAGTAATCAAAACTGATTCAGATGGAAAACGACTGAGAATTCTCTTACAATTAAAGTCTGGTCATTCTCAAATGGTCATGGGGGTGATGGTAGGGGTGGCAGAATAGGCAGTCAAACTAATTAGGAAGTCATCTTGCTATTAAAGATTTGACAGAAAACACTTTCTTATACCCTTACACACATAATAACAAAGCAAACTTTCTTAGTATTTTGCTTTAGTCACCCCAACCCCAAATGCTAACATTTTAACACACCTGCATAGATTCTTACTGTGTTCAGAATGCTGTTCAGCTTTAATTGTTGAACAAGTAATCTTTAATCTTGTCCAAACCTTAATTTCAGCTATGAATTGCCTAGTGTCTTGGGTATTTTTAAGAAAAAAAGAGGACAATAAGTGAAAGATGTAAGAATTGTTCCTTATCTATAAATTAAGATTATTGCTTAGATTCATTCAACAGGTTTGTTTCCTCTCCTGCTAGAGGGTTGTATGGGTAGTATTTGTTTGGTGACAGCGTTACTTAAAGTGTTCAACTTTTTTTTTTCACATCCATATTGTTCATCATTTTAGCCAAATATAATGTTTCATATAACTAATTCCTGAGCCATCTTTAAAAAATCACCTTTAAAAAAAATGAGTACCACTAATCTGGTAATATGCCCAAAACAATTTAGGCTGAAAATCTGACACCAAGAGGGCAGGTCACAGTAGGGCTGAGGAAGCAGGTCTTTGCCAACAAGTAAACTATGTCACTATTTCAATGGGAGTAATATCCTCCAAATCCAAATATATCTCTTTTTGTTTCTTTTTTAGGTTGCTCCACTGTGCCTAGGAAGAGCTGGAGCTTGTGTTGTGACTGTAAAATTATAATTTAGTGCTTTGTTTTCTAAATGAAAATATCTTCTTCCTTTATTAATTTACTACAATTATTCTACTATCAGTGGATATGTTTTTAGTAAATGTGCAATATTCCTGGGCACAGAGTGCCTCATCTCAAGCTGAAATGTTGAAAAAAAAAAAAAAAGCAAGGAGTGGATGGACCAGGATTAAAACTTTCATTTCTTAGTAAATCAAAACTACAGCTGGTGGATTGTGAACATATGTTCCTGACATGAAACATAAAGAAAAAAGTGCTACTCCAAAACAATCCAGTGTTAACCAGAAATTTCATTTCTTCATAGTTTAGCCCATTTTACTTACATTATCCAGATTGATTTTATTACAGCACAAACATCATTAAAAACTTCTAAAATATTATTTTGTAAGTTCATCATACATGAATTGCAGTAATTTTTGTTTAATCATAATCACTACTTCTGACATACTGAAGACTATACTATCTAGTTTTTTCAACTACACTATGTATGCTTTGGTTGTGGATTTTACCTCTAAAATTGGCGTAGTCCAATGGGGGGGGGGACACTAAAGCATTAGAACAACAATGACCAAATAAAACAATATGATCTTTGGGGTCTGTTTAAATCTTCATTCCATTATATTTAGATTCATCAAGAATTACATGTATGATGTTCTTTAGTTGAAATTTAAACATGACAGTTTACATTAAATATATGCAAACTTATGTAGAGAAAATAAATATTATATGCCCTTTACTGTTCTTTCACCTAACTAGTATTTAATTACATGAATTTGTTTTGTTTCCTTTTCTATTACAAAAAAATTGTTTGATTTGTCTTTTGATATTGACAGAACAGGATGTTATTATGTTCAAGTTTTGTGTTTGCCTCTTCTGACTTGTCTCTTACGTTTTGACACAGTTAGTAATCCATCATGCATCTTTGTAATCAAGCAGTTTGGAGGGATCGGGCTAATTCAATATTTGAAAAATAAGTCTAAAGTGTTTGTTACCCAAAGTTTTGTACATTTGTAAACTCTAATTACATCTGTGAATGTCAGTACTCTCCCTGAATTGTGTATTGTTTGCAAAAAAAATGCACGGGGCAGTAACATTTTTTTATATTTCCTACTAGTCATTAATGAATCTTTATATAAAATGAGTCTAAATTCTCATCTTTCAAAATTCATTAAAAGTTGGAGCAAAATCTCTTTTTAAAAAAATGAACTTATTTTGAATGCACATGAAATGTTTCTGTCTAGGAACCCAAGAAAGGAAGTGCTTCTATTTCCAAATCAAATCCAACAGTCATTTTACTGATGTGGTCACTAAGAAAATAATGGTGATAGTGATTTGTCATGTATCAATATTTTACATGTTCATTTTGAGTGTAAGTTCATTATTTTCCTGGCAAAAGATTTGTTATGAAGTATATTTATGTATATTATGAAGTATATTTAAGGGAAGGGAGGTGAAGAGCAAAAATCTAATAAGAAACAAAACAAAAATTTTAGTAACAGAATCCTCATTACATCCTCACCTCCTTGAGGAAGCTGAAATCTTATGATCGTTTCTTGGAACACTCATTATCTGCTCTAGTTCCCTGTCCCACAGAAGACTCATGTTAAAGTAAAGGAACTAATTCTCCCCTCCCAGGACTTGTTTTCCTTTATGGAATTTCCTACTCTAATTCAGGGCCTCTCTAGTGCAGTTTTGTAGGCAGTAGCACCTGCTCTCCTGGGTATCATTAGACCCATTTCTTTTCAAGTGACGGGGAATTGACCAAGACTTTCATTTAGCTTCTAGTCCCGATCCTATAATTTTAGAGAAAAGCATGGCTCTTTCTTGTGTCCACATTGCTGCCTTGGCTTTTATTATTAGCCTATCCATTGAGATATATGTCTAGGTACTGTTTATTTTAATTCCAATTAATGACCACTTTATGAAAAATAATACTAACAATTATTTAATGCTTGTTATGAACAGAAGTCAGTTTTTTGTATGCATTAATTTTCTTAATCTTCACAACAACCACATAAGGTAGATTCTGTTATTATTTCCTTTCTTACAATTAAGGAAACAGGCAGAGAGTTAACCCCAAGAGTATATGTAGCAAGTAAGTGGCAGAGCAAGGGTTCACACACACACACACACACACACACACACAGTCTGACTCGGAGTCTTCACTCCTACCATTCTTGCCTCTGAGTAGAAAAAGAGAGGCTTGTTTTATGTGAGTAATCATTTGTTTGGGTAAAAAGAAAAACTAAAGGAGTTTATGCTCTTTAGCAATAAAATTTACACTAGTCACACCCCATCATAAAATTATGGTTCCTTAGTTTTTAGGGAAATTTTTGTTTAACTCATAAAATTCTATATATATTTTTCTTGAGAAAAATAAATGTAATAAAATATGGCATACATTTAAGTTCCATAAATACTAGATAAATTGCATAGTTGCTTGAGTAACTAAACTATAAATGAATTTATTTGTCAAAAGTATTATTGCCAATGGATTAGAAAACCTAGATAAAATGGACAAATTTCCAGAAACATACAAATTATCAAAACTGACTTAAGAAGAAAATTTTTTAAAAAACCGAAGAGACATGACAAGAGGCTGAATTAGTAATCAAAAACTTCCAACAAAAAAGTACAGGACTACACAGGTTCACTGGTGAACTCTGCCAAACATATAAAGAACAATTGACACCAATCCTTAAACCCTTCCCAAAAATGGAAGAGGAGGGAACAATTTGTAACTCATTCTGTACAGCCAGCATTACCTTGATACCAAAACCAACACAAGAAAACTATAGACTAACATCCCTATGAATATAGATGCAAAACTCAACAAATACTCTGTCCAAATCCAACAGCCCTTTAAAAGGATTATACACCATGACCAAAGTAAGATTTGTCATAGGAATACAAGGATGGTTTAATGTACAAAATCAATGTAATACACCACATAGTAAAATGAACAGAAAAAAAAAAATACTTCCATTTATAGGAAAAAAACACTTGACAAAATTCAATACCCTCTCATGGTAAAAGGAGGGGTGGAAAAAGCAAAAATGTGAAGAGAAGGGCATTTACTTAATCTGATAAGAGAGACTCTTAAGCAAACCCAATTTTACTGCTAAAGAGCATAAACTCCTGTAGTGCCAAGACTATTTAATGTCTTCAACAAGTGGAGGTGAGACAACTAGATACTCACAAACAACAACAAAAATGGAGTCAGGCCCTTACTTCATACCCTGTACAAAGATCGATGCAAAATTGACCAAAGGTCTAAATACAAGAGTTACAACCCTAAAACTCTGAGAAGAAAACAGGCATAAATCTTCATCATGTTAGATTTAGCAGTAGTTTCTTACATATAATAGCTAAACCTCAAGCTGCAGAATACATAAATTAGACTTCATTACAATTGAAAGCTTCAGTGTATCAAAGGACACTATCATAAAAATGAAAAGCTAACTCACCAAATAGGAGAAAATATTTGTAAGTCACATAGCTGGTAAGGGACTAATATCCAGAATATAAAAGGAACTCCTACATGTAACAACAAAAAGACAACCCAATTTTAAAATGGGCAAAGGACTTAAACATTCCTCCAGTGAAGATATACAAAGGGCCAACAAGCACATGAAAAGATGCTCGCATCATTAGTCATCATGAAAATCAACACCACAATGAGAGATCACTTCATACCAACTGAAATGACTATAATTTTAAAAACATAAGTGGTGGAAAGGAAGTGGAGAAATTGGAACTTTGATTCATTGCTGGCAGGGATGTGAAATGGTGCAGCTGCTGTAGAGAACAGTTTGGCAGTAACTCAATAAGTTAAACAGAATTACCGTATGACCCAGCAGTTCCACTCCTGGCTGTGTAGCAAAATGAACTGAAAATGTGTTCAAATGAAAACTTGCACACAAGTTTAGTAACACTAGGCAAAATAGCCAAAAGTTAAGAACGGACCAATGTGCATGAGCTCATGAATTGGTAAGCAAATGATGCATACACACAATGGAATTTATTCAGCCATAAAGTGGAAAGAAGTACTAATACATGCTGTGACATGGGGAAGCCGTGAACATGTTATGCTAAGTGAAAGAAACCAGATACAAAAGGCCTCATGTACAATGATCCCTTTTATATGAAATATCCAAAATAAGCAAGTCCATACAGAAAACAGATTAGTGGTTGTCAAAGAGGAAGGGGGAGTGGGAAGTGACCATTGAATGAATAAGGAGTTTGGGGATGATGGGAACGTTCTGGAACTAGTTATTGTGATGGTTTCACAACATGGCGAAGAGTACTATATGTCACTAATGGTAATTTTTATGTTTATTTTACCATAATTTTTTAAAAAAACTTTCATTAGGTACATTACAAATTATTTTTTGAACATAGTGATAAGCATCCTATACACATCACTAGAATTAAACTCTGGATTTATACGCATCCTAAAGAGGATTTTTTTTTAAGTGTAATTTATGAATAAACACATTTTTTTTAATCTGACAGACTAAGCGAGAGACGGTGACAAACGTAAGAGGGAAGTTGGAGTGGGAGCTCTTCCTCAGTGCAAAGGCACATAATGGGCTTTTCAGAACTGTTTCTAAAAGAAGGATATCATTCCATAAACTGTATATTATTTGAAGTTATTAAGACATCTTAACTCTTACTCAGAAACAAATATGCAATAAAATAATAGTTTTATCATGCCTGGGTTATACATTTCTTTGTGATATTTTTATTATATTTCATTTTGTAATTGGAGTACAAAATATATATACCATGAAGAATTAAAGCCTATTTTGGGTGTTTTCATTCTTCTGGCTCTTTGATAACATCTGTAGATTTATAAAAATGCAACAAGTCCTCCAACATAGCCTCTGTCCTCACTCCTAAGGCCTATGAAAGTGCTGTTTGTGTCATTCCTGGGCCTGAACTACTCTGACATCCTGTGAATCCCAAAGACATTCAGTACTGATTGATTTGGGCATTAGCATCAAGACTACACCCTACTGTCACCCTCACATCCAGCCTGAGCAAGGGTTTCCCCTGGCTGCCTAGTGAGGAGGGATCTCAACAGCAAAACCAGGGAAGCTTGGGAGTCAGACTGCTTTTTTCCCCCATGATGCTGGGATTGAACCAGAGCACCTGGCTTGCTAGGCAAGTGCTCTTCCACTGAGCTGCATCCCCAGGCCCAGGAAAGAAACTTAATGCCCTGGATCTATGCCCAGGCTGAAGTTGGTTCCTTTTGATTATTCACAGTGCTTTGTGGATAATAATTACATTTGAGGCATTTTAAAATAATTTTATATTGTTGAAATAATATTACTTATATAATAATAGGCTTGTAAAATTAGGTTGGGCAGGCAAATGATGATTCAGTGACCATTCAGTTATGACAGTAAGTGGCAACATAAAGTATTAAGGTTATCCACCCAACACCAGGTTTAAAAACTTGTCAGATTGTTTAATATGTATTTTTCTGAATAAATTCTGCACAGTAAAGTTCTCTTGCCACTTTTTAAGATAATAAAAACAATTGGGTGCCACGGTGCATGCCTATGATACTGCTGGTTACCGGTGATAAGTCCTGCTCCGTCACATGTTGAAGTATAACATTAGAGGAGCACGCTGAGGCAAGCGTATAAACAGGGTTTATTTAAAAGGGGATAACATAAACTTCTCCCAGGAGGGAGAAGGAGGCCATAGCTGGTATCCTGGTATCCCCAGAAGTGAGGGTATTCTGCCTTTTTTATATGTCCTGGGCCTCCTTTGTTCTGCTCTCTTCCCCTTATCTCTCTCCTTCCTGCTTATGTGACTAGGCCCAGGCGATGCTCAGGTAAGATGGCTAAAAGATGAGAAGCAGATGGGCTGAAGGAGCCAAGGTGGTGTAATTAACAACTTTTATAACTCCCAGTAGGGAGGGACAATTCCTGGGTTAAGTTACCTTAGCAACAGGTTGGAGTAGGGGCAGGGTATCTTGATAAAGGTGGAGGAAGGACTCTGAAGGTATTTCATTCCCTCAGAAGGTAG